TTAAATTTAGTGGTCTAAATTTACCGGGCAATCAACGTTTTATTTCATTTTAAGACAGGTAGAGTCTGAATATACATTATTTTGCTGTCTTTATTGCAGGGTTGATGAATAAATTAAATTACATAATGATATGCCTGTTTTCTAAAAATTATATTAAATAAAGAGGGTACTTGGCTTCTGAAAGATATTTAGGGAGCCAAATTTTTTTAGAATTTAGGGAAACGCCAAGAAGAACATTTTTTGAATTTAAGGAAGTTAAGGGATGAGGGCCGCAAAATTTTTAGAATTTAAGGAGGCATCGGGTGGCAGCATTTAGGACTCTCAAAGATTGCGCCGAGCATAGAATGCTTTTTTTGAAAAAGGGAGAAATACTTATATTCTGAAAGTAGCATCTCACTTTAGAATGTACTCAATTTTTCATGCATGTGCAATAGAAATTTTTTATATTTATTGTTTATAATAAAATGTCCTTAATTTTAATTAGGCACTAAATATATCATGTCCATGTTGATCAATAATTTGTTGGCTCCATAGCCACCTTTCTGTCTAGCATACATCTTAAACCATAACTGAAGTTCATAGCTGAATTTACACCTGTTGAATAACTTGTACCTCTAATGACAAGAAATGACTCCTGCAGCGATGCCTGAAACATACAGTGGTACCTCGATATACGAGTGTTTTGAGATACGAGCTGCCGAGCGAGCGATATTTTGCTTTGAGATATGAGGAATCGCACACTACACCACTGCACACCACGACTGCAACATTTGCGCCCATATTGGTGTTGCGTGCAGCGTCTAACAGCTTTTCCCACCTCAGACTAGACCTCATTCTGTGTGCTTGTTTCCCTCGTTTTCGAAGCATTTTTGATAAGTGGTTCGCATTTTTTGCTTTTTGTACATTTACAAAACATTATCGCATTTATTTTTATAACCATGGGTCCAAAGAAGAAGATGATGTCTATTGAATAAAAGCATGAAATTATAGAAAAACACGAGCAAGGTGTACAAGTAATTGACTTGGTGAGGATGTACGGGCAGGATGTACACATCAATGATATATACTGTGCTTAAACAGAAGGAGTTGATAAAGAGTATAACGCCAGCTAAGGGTGTTACAATAATTTCTAAGCTCCGGACCTATCTCTATGAAAAGATGGTGAAACTACTGATGGTGTGGGTGACAAAAAAGCAGCTTCAAGGAGGAACCTTAACACAAAGCATCATATGTGAGAAGGCACGAGTGATTTACACGGTGATTTGCTGAAACAGATCCCACACACTTCCACAAACAAGGAATTGGAAGACCGTTTAAAGCCAGTTGAGGCTGGTTTGACAACTTCAGGAAAAAAAAAACTGGCATTCACTCTGTCGTCAGGCATGGTGAGGCAGCAAGTTCGGATGTGAAGGCAGCTGAAGTTTGCATCAAAACGTTTTCCGAACTAATAAAAGCCAAAGGATACATCCCCCAGAAAGTCTTCAACTGGGACAAGACAGGGCTTTTCTGGAAAAGGATGCCGAATAGGACTTACATAACGGCAGAGAAGAAGACGATGCCAGGTCACAAACCCATGAAGGATAGATTAACTCTAGCACTTTGCGCCAATGCGAGTGGCGACTGCAAAATCAAGCCTCAGCTAGTATACCATTCGGAAAATCCCAGAGCCTTTAAGTCACATAAGATTTTAAAGAAAACTGCCAGTTATGTGGAGGGCAAATCCGAAGGCGTGGGTCACCAGGAAATTCTTTGTGGAGTGGATAAACCTGGTGTTTGGCCCTTCTGTTAAAAATATCTACAGGAAAACAATCTACCCATGCAAGCCCTTTTCGTCCTCAACAATGCCCCTGCTCACCCAATAAATCTCGAAGATGATTTAATCAAAGAGTTCAAGTTTATAAAAGTTCTCTAGCTACCACCCAACACCACTCCTATCCTGCAGCCCACGAAGCAACAGGTGATTTCTAATTTTAAGAAGTTGCACACCAAGCACATTTTTCGGCGCTGTTTTGAGGTGACGGAGAACACAAACCTTATCCTTTGAGAGTTCTGAAAGGATCTCCTTAACATCATGATATGCCTAAGAATTATTGATCAGGCCTGGCTGGGTGTTACAACAAGGATCTTAACGTCTTCACGGAAGAAACCGTGGCCTGAGGCTGTAGCTGAAAAGGCCTTCGAAGAATTGGAACCCGAAGTGTCAGTGGTGAAGAAGATTGTTTCTCTGGGAAAATCCATGGGTCTGGAGGTGGATGAGAAAAATGTGAACAAATTCGTCGAGGAACAGTCTGAGGAGCTGACAACCGAGGAGTTACACGATCTACATTCGCAGCAGCATACAGTGGTTCAACGAAAAATTAGTTTTGAAGCGGAGCCAGAGATGGAGGAGGTTATGCCTACAAGAGATATAAAGGGAGATCTTGGAAATGTGGGAGACAGTTGTAGAGTTCGTGGATAAAAATCACCTCAAAAAAGTTGCTACTGGTCGTACAATAGAGTTGTTCAACAAAACTTGCCTAACTCATTTCCGCAGTATCCTGAAAGGGAGGAAGAAACAAACCTCCTTGGACACTTTTTTGAAACGATCATGGCGAAAAAAGCGAAGACCAATGACGAAAATTAAGCGCTTCCGTAAGCACTTCTTTTTTTCTTTTAATTATATTTTTATAGAATATGTATTTGTTATTTATAAATAAATGTTTCTTCTTGTAAATACATTTTTCTTGTTCAAAAACACTTGAAAAAAAAATAAAAAACAACTGAGGTGGTGTTTTGGGAGCTGGAATGGATTAATGGCATTTCAATTAATTTCAATGGGTAAAAATTGCTTTGAGATACGAGCAATTTGACATACGAGCAAGGTTACGGAACGAATTAAACTCGTATGCCGAGGTACCACTGTATTTGTTTTTATAAGTAACTGAATACCAAACAACACGGTTACCTTTTATGTTCACATTACAGTTGATGACGATGATTACAGATTTCAGACAACTACGCTGCAAAGCATAGAGTGTGTAGGTAAGGGGAAATTTAACATAAATTTCTTTCCATATGCAAAGAGTAGATTTTTGTAAATAATATTCATAGACCGAAAGATTGCATTTAATGGTGTTTGAATTGAAAATAAGTGGTTTGTTGCTCGGATAAGCTTAAAGTATATGTGAAAATTTATTTATTCAGGGTTAAGCGTATGCGGGAAATGGATGTAATTGTATTAAATAACTAATCTAATGTAATTCCGGATCATCTTCCGCAGCACGCGATAAAAGCAGGATAAATTTTAGCGGAGTAGCATGTCTTCAGTCGCCAATCTCATGCTAAAACGAGACACTACTCAAAATTTGTAGTATGATTCTAAATGTTGAAAATATTGTTGCCGATACTGAAGGGGAGCGTAAAAAAAAGGTTGTTGAGAACAAAAACAATTTCGATCGAGAGTTTAGTGAGAATTCTGGACTTGTGTTCTTATGCAATTATATCACTTGAGCAATAGAACTTTGAATAAAAAAAATTATTGAAATAATGTTTTATAAAGAAGCAAACAGACCATTTTTTGAAAGTTTTAATTTACTTAAGATCAGAAATGCTTCACTGTTTTATAAACAACTATTTCGTATTTTTAATTTTATAATTTTTACATCTTATCTTACTAGATTTAAAGTGATAATCTAAAATCCAGAATCACTGAACCTCTAATGAGTCTGCATTTCGGACTTTGTGCTGTAGTTCAGTAGATATGCACGTAATGGAAGCACTTACATGAAAAGAGATATAGTCTATATATTGAAATGCATGAAAATTTAAAATTTTAAATCACCTTTAATTTAATTTAATTAAGTCAATTACTTTTCGTTTAAAGTTTTATTTAAAAAAATTTTGACTTTTCTGCAAAAGTTTGAATTTGAACCTGGTATTGTTTTATGTTACCTGTTATTATCCTGTTTCGAAGAAATTAAAATTCAACAAATGGTCAATTTCACTCTTCCCCCCGAAATTTAAGGCTGGCTACGCCCATGAAATTGGCATTCTTCTAATCACTTTTCATAGTCAAAACTTGCTGTTCCTTTTTGTAATGCTCTGTCTTGACTAAGTTGCAGCGAAGTTACGAAATGAACTGAGGGTGATAAAATGCTAATTCAGTAAATTCACTGTTGGCAGGTGAAATCAAACTTTACATTCTTAAATTGGAAAATTACTTGTTTTAAATATATGTAAATATTTTAGATTTTCTAAAAATAAAGTACTTTTGGGAGTATATTAAATATGGTGCTTTTGTCAGGACAACCTGTAGTTATTTATTTAATAACTTTTTTATCGGTGTTACATTTTTTATCATTGATATAATTGTGTTTTATTTTATTTTAATTTTTAATCCTTTAAAAAATGAGATATTTTTGTATGTATTTTTTATGGTTATATATATATATATATATTTTTTTTTTTTTTTTTTTTTTTTTTTGTAAATGTTTTATAAAAAATTAAGTTTTTGGTTATAATATGCACAAAATTATTAACTGCCAACTTTTTATTATGTTCATTATAAAATATATTCTAAAATATTTGCATAAAAATGTGCAAATTTTTAATGTCGTGTTTGTGCTCCGAGTTGTTGAATTTATAGAATTTAGATTTGTGTATTCTTTTTTTAACTAATTTAGATTTTTGAACTGAAATTAATTGTTAAAGTAGAAAAGTAGAAAATGAATGTTACATAATTATTATAACAGGAGAAATAAATATAATTAATGATACTGAAAATGTTGTTTCTGAAGATGGCTTCAAATCAAAAATTAAGTTGTTATTAAAAACAAGTAGATAAACAATTTAATATTTATATGTTATTCAGTATTATATTTATATGTTATATTTATATGTTATTCAGTATTTAAAATTTCGTTATTTTTAATTTATTAATTTTGATTACTTGTAGGAAGAAAAATTGTATTTGTATTAAAATATTAAATATCCATTTATATATTTTTTGTTTTTCTTTTCAGTATTCGAAAATAAAGATAAAATAGTGCTTGTTATGCAGTTTGCTAGTGGTGGGGAACTTTATGATTATTTGAGTGAGAAAAAAGTGCTATCTGATGTAGAAGCAAGAAGGATATTTCGTCAGATTGCTGCTGCTGTTTATTACTGTCATAAAGTAAGACTCAACTTTGAAATACATTCGTATTGAAAAGTTAATATATATTGTAAGGCATAGGCTATAAGATTTTTAAAAGCATCTGTCAACATCTGAAGGTATAAATAAATTCACTTTGCTACCAAGGTGACACTATACAAAGAATACCTCATGTAGTTACTTTAAAGCATGTAAAATTTATTGGAATGATAATATGTATGATATTCTGGCAACTTTATTGATGTACTTAGTATGTACTATATTGTTGTAATATACTTATTTTTAATTAATTTTATGTAAATGAATGTTTTCCTTTTTATCTCTATGTTGGGCTCAAAATTGCTTAGCTATAAAGTGCATTTAATTTGAGAGTAACAATTCAAATAAATAAGCTATTTGGAAGGCTTTAATAATAATGTTATTTAACATGTGTTATGTTATATAAGGCATTAGGTTTCAAACAATGGCTAGCCCAGAAAGGATTCATAAGTCATCTATCCGATTAATTAACAGCTATCTTATCATAAATAAAGCACTTCAGATCTTTTAAACTTAAGGGAAAAGGTTTATTTACACTTTTGTACAAGTTAAATGAATAAGAAATATCTATCTAGCTACATCATGCAAACATCGTCTTTAGCTTTTAAACCGCAACTACTCGTCTTCCTCTGGCATCCCATGACAGCAGTCTCTAGCTGGCCTTTGATTCGTTGGCGTAGTGATGCCATTCTCAACATCCTCCCTCTTTTTGAGTTCCTGCAAGGCCAACTTATACGCAAGGCTTGCCACTGTGAAAATATTCTTTTGTGTTTTCGGTGGCCTCAGTGAAATTTCTACTGACCACAAGACGGCGCTACTATTCCACTACACTTTGCAATGTTAACAATGAGCAGAATGGTACCCAAGACAAATAATTGTCTCAAAATTTAAAACAATTAATCTGTAGTAGTCAGAAATTATACATTTCTTTTTAATAAAAATATTTTTATTTAGATAGAAAGCGTGAAATTTCAAGTTATCCCATTTTTCTTTTTTTCATATATAACCATCAGCTACTTGATTCTGATTTTAATTCCTGCTTGCATCTAGATATACACTATTTTTAATTGTACTTATTAGAGTTACCTATTCTAATTTAAGGGTAATTTAGAGCACATGTTTTACTTTTAAAATTATTTATATTGTACGAAGTTAGCAGGTAGCTTCAGAACATAAAATATTTCAGTGCAAAATTTTAATCGTATTAATATCAGTTATCCTGTGCAACAAAATAATTTGGAGACACTATTAAATATGTAATTAAGAAATTAATAAATGATGAAAGTTAATTTGTTAATACATAAGAGAAAAAGTATTTCTAAAAGAAATTTGGTTTTAGGTACTGAATTTTTTTCTCTTTTTTAATGAATATAAAATACTTTTCTAGGAAATATTAAAAAATAAAATTTTAAATAATACAGATTTAGAGCCCTGAAGAGTAAACACAACACTACAGATGTTCAAAATAGTACCAAGTATTTCAATATTACCGACAAGATATAATAATGACATAGATGACATTAATCACAATGAATCATATACTCCCTCTGTCCCAAATTAGTTGCTACATTTGAGTACTGATTATTGATACTGAAGATTTTATGAATTTTTTTTTCCATATTTTCTAGAAATTTCAGGGTGCTACGTTATCAATCAACAACAACTTTACTTACCAAGCATTCCCTCCTTATATCAGTACCAAATTAGTTTAAAAAATCCAGCTTTTGCACACCCTTAAGCCATGCTGCATTTTGTAAGGACTCTTCCATCAATAATTGCTAAAATCTTCAGGCTAATTAAATGTAAATTCAATTATCTGTCTTGTCTATACGAGCCAGTTTGCCCTAAAAATTCATCCATGAAGGCATCCCTCACCTTAGGCAGACAGCCCTTGAGGCTTTGCCTTAATCACATAAAAACAATCTTTCTGAAATACGGGCGGTATAGTCCTTACAAAATGGGGAATGGTTTAAGAGCCTGCAAACTCTCTAAATTTGCGTCGATAAAATTGTCCCAAAATAAGTGCTACATTTGTGGAAATTAAAAACTGAGAATGAAAGCCTAGTATGCAGCATTACGTTCCTTATAGTACACCTTGTAATTTTACTGTTGTCCATCTACTAAACTGCATCGAAAGTTATTTATGATTCCACCTACTTGAAATGTAGCACCTAATTTGAGACAAAACTTTCGACCAAAGCTTAGCAATTAGTTTGGGACAAAGGGAAAAAAAGAATTTTGAGACTGCTAATTTCAATATCATTGACAGCATATTTTAAAAAATAAAGCCATATTCCCTAAAACAAAAAGTATTACCTCCATTAATTACATATATATATATGGATTCAACATGAATCTCTATTACTTCAAGTGCATCCACAAAACACTCAACCAGGTAGACACAAATTCATGCACATCATCACACTTATTAAAATGAGATATGCACTTTAAAATTTTGAAGCTAGTGCAGACAGCACTCAAATGTTTCTGGATCAAAGATAGCAAATATGAGAGCTAAAAAGTAATAAATTTCGTTAAAAAGCTAACTCAATTAGCATTTTTTATAAAATATATACATGGATGCATTCTTAAATTTTAATATCATTAAATACTCTAAATCATTTAACTGATAGGGATATGATAATTTGTTCCTCGCTGAGAAAGCGGTATAAGTTGGATGACTATCAGTTGAAGGATTTGTACATAGCGTAATTACAAAGCTGTATATAATGTAAAAAGCTAATTGTCTTCAGACTTATGCTGTTACTAAAAAAAATGGGCCTATTTCATAATCTTTAGTCTGTCAAATAGCTCTTTGACAGTGAAAATTCCTTTTCTTAATTTCTTCCTCGTTACGACATGACAATTAGCCAGATTAATTAATTTCCATTCACTAGTATATTCAAAAATTTTAACAGACGGTTTCACTCACATAAGAACTCCACAACATACGTCCCTCAAGCATTCCTAGTCACTCCCTCTCCCATAAATTACTTCACACAAGTTTCGCCGACTGAAATAATTCAAAGTCCCCGCTGCTGATAAAAAATTTCGGACACACGACCCTTCTGAGTAAGACAGGAAGAGAACACTTGGCCCACTTCCCACTAGAAAGAACGTAAGTTAATTAATGCTTTTTCTGGCCTTTTATATCTTCATGTACATTCCCTTTTCTTATTATAAATATTTTAAATTTAAATTTTTATTTTTTGATTTGTTTTTTCGAAGATTGCATTATATTTTGTAATTTTCTAATGTTTATTTCAATTACTCTGAGTTCTATTTCATAATGCCAATTTCCAATGTTTAATTTTTTACAAATAGTTTTGAATTAAAATGCATAAACATGAGGGTATCGGGGGACAATTACTCAAGTAATTTATCAATTTTACTGCATAAATTGCTTTTCACTCAAAATTGAATTAGTGAAAATGCTTAATCAGAATGAGTTCTTTGGTGCTCTGCATTGGTTCTTGATCCCTTCAATTCACGGAAATATTTGGCCTAACTTAAATTGGCAGTTTGGCATCGCCTTATTACTTGAGTAAAGGACGAAACACCTTCGTATTTATTTCTTAATTATTGTTCATTGAACGGGAGTTGGTTGTTGCCCTTGAAAAGTCAAGTAATTTCCGATCAATGACAATGATTACTTGCTTTCAATTTAATTTCTTTTTACAATTGAAATTTTGTTATTCATGATAAATCCCTGTTAAGCATTTTAACAATTTACATTCAAGTTACTTTAAAACATTTTTCGGAATTAAACTTACTAACTATGGATTCACTCTTTTTAGATAATTCTACTAAAATTAATCTTAGGAGATAATATAATCAATATTTCTTAGTAAATAAATTATTATTAACTTACTTTGCAGCTATTGTGCAAGTAGTAGAATAACTTGATTTCGCACTAAGTGAATTTAAGATCATACAACATTATATATATATGTGATAGGTTAAAATATCATTTATGCAGAAAACAGAGATTATCTCCAGAATGATAACAAAAAAAAAATTATGGTATTTTTATTTCAGGAAGACGAAAACATGATATGAAGCTGAACATACACACACATATTAAGGAGCTTCTTTATGTACAAAAGCTGAGCGAAAGAAACATATCAAAAGAATTTTAAGGCTTTAAAATGTTACGTGATGATTGCTTTTGTTTAAGAAATTGTGTATTATGTATTTGTATTAAATCTGTATTACATGAAACTGATGGAAATGCTATCCGTCCAACAATTATATGTTGTGAATAATTATTTAAATACAATCGTAATTTTTTTTTTAAAGGAAGAAAACTTTGCAGTATAGCACACAACAATATACCATCCTATGTTACTATTAGTTACAGTGGCACGTTTTAATAAAATACACTTTTTGTTAATAACGAGCCACATTACAAATAGAGAATGCATAGCAAAATTGTAGCAGAATGCGAGCGCCACCTAGTGATGAATTTCACAAAAGCCACTGAAAACTGGGAACTGGAATTTCATTCAGTCTGGCTGGCCTTGAAAGTTGGCCTTGGTTGCTGGATAGTTACTCAAAATATTCAAGTCTATCAAGTTCAATCTAAGTGGCATCTCAACAGTTCTACTAGATCGTGTCTTTATAGTCTTATAACTGTCACATACATCGGAAACATCAGTGGGGTCCGGAGATCGGGGTGGATCTGAAAAGAAATAAAACAGATAAGAAAAATGAAAATCAATGTCCAGATGGCAGATGTTAACTTGGTGCACCACCAGTTCATCTGATCAGCAAAGGTTGACAGGATAATGATGCCTTCATGGCATATCTTTCGTACTTCATAACAATCAGAGGGATGAACTTTCGTTGTCTCATAAGGACCGAAGAATTTGGGAAGAAGTTAAATTTCAGTCGGAGTACAAGTTGGATTGGCATTTGATCACCAAATTTGTATTTGCAGGCTCTTTTCTGGCGTTTCTTTGGGCGTGAAGCAGCTAAAGAAT